AGTGAACTGTAATAGCCCCACTACACCTCAGCCTGGGCAACAGAACAAGATCCTATTTCAAATAAATAAATAAATAACTTAGCCTATCTACTCTGAAGTCACACTCTGTTGTTATTTTTCAGTACTGTCCTATTTTTCCCTGTTTGTTATGTAAATTTCAGAACTGTCTTTTCTCAACTTCCAAAATAAGCCTACTGATGAGAGTATACATGAGTACAACCACATTGGAAAACAAATGGCATTATCTAAAAAAGTTGAAGACGTACATATTCTATGATCTAGCAATTCCAGTCCTGGGCATGTGTACAAAAGAAATGTGTACACATAGGTAAACATGTACAAAAACGTTCTCAGTAATACACTTCATAAAAATTAAAAACTGGAAACAATCCAAATGACTGCCAACATTTGGTAGTTGGTCAGGCACAGTGGCTCACGTCTGTAATCCCAGGCACTTGAGGCCCAGTTGGCAGAATCCCTGAGGTTCAGCAGTTCGAGACCAGCCTGGCCACCGGAGAAACCTCTGTCCTCTACTAAAATACCAAAAGTTAAGCCCAGGCAGTGGGTGGCGCTGCCCTGTACATTCACTCAGCTACTGCAGAGGGCAGGCAAAGAATCGCTCTAAACAGAGGCCGCATAGTGCAGCAAGCTGAATCGTACCATGCACTCCAGTCTGCTCAACAGACACAAACCTGCTCACAAAGAAAGAAAAAGAAGAAGAGAAAAAAAAGAATACCATTACAATAATGAAAAATGAACTAGACTTACACACAACAACGTAGATGCTCTCATAAACATATTGCTGAGCTAAGAAACCACACACAAAATTACATAGAATGATTCCATTTACACTGCAGTCTCAAAAACAGGTAATCTTTAAATTAGATTAAGAATAAATATATAGGTAGTAAACTAGATAAAACAAGGAATGCCCAGGCCGCGATGGCTCACGCCTGTATCCCAGCACTTGGGGGGCCAAGGCGGGTGGATCACAAGGCAAGATTTCGAGACCGCCTGACCAACATGGTGAAACCCCGCCTCTACTAAAAATACAAAAATACGGGCATGGTGACATGCACCTGTATCCCACTACTGTGGACTGAGCAGGAGAATCACTCGAACCCAGGAGGGAAGGTTTGCAGTGAGCCCGAGATTGTGCCACTGCATTCCAGCCTGGGTGACCACAGTGGAACTCTGTCTCAAAAAAAAAAAAAAAGGAATGATTACCAACAACATTAGGAAGTCTGGGAGAAAAGAGATCTGATTGAGAAAAAGGAGGATAATTTTCTTTCTTTTTTTTGTTTTGTTTTGAGACAGTGTCTTGCTCTGTCGCCCAGGCTAGAGTGCAGTGGTACGGTCCTGCTCACTGCAACCTCCCACTTCCCGGGTTCAGATGATTCTCATACCATCAGCCCTCCTGAGTACTGGGATTATGGGCATGTGCCACCACACCGGCTAATTTTGTATTTTTAGTAGAGATAGGGTTTTGCCCATGTTGGCCAGACTGGTTTGAACTCCTTACACCTCAGGTGATCTACCACCTCGGCCTCCCAAAGTGCTGGGATTACAGCGTGAGCCCACTGCGCCCAGCCAGTTCTGTTTCTATAGCTGGCAACAAACAGAAAATGCAATTTAAAAAGCATTTTATTAGCAACCAAAGTATAATGCAGTAAATGAATAAATCTTACAAAATGGGTATAAGACATTTGGTAAACCCCACAGAGATCCAGTACAACAAGTAATCAAAGTCAACACCCTTGCAAATAACTCTTCAAGTCAAATAGAAAATTGCCGATACCGGCAGGGCATGGTGGCTCACACCTGTAATCACAGCACTTTGGGAGGTGAGGCGGGTAGATCACTGAGGTGTAAGAGTTCAAGACCAGTCCTGGCCACACTGGCGAAAGACCAGTCTGCCAACATGGCGAAACCCGCCTCTACTAAAACACACAAAATTAGCCAGGCGTGGTGGTGGTGGCCTGTAATCCCAGCTATTCGGGAGGCTGAGGCAGGAGAATCCTTGAACCTGGGGAGCAGAGGTTGCAGTGACTAGATCGCACCATTGCACTCCATCGCTGTGCAACAAGAGCGAAAGCCCCGTCTCAAAAAAAAGAACAGAACTGAATGTTATGCCTTGATGCAACAACCACACTATACTCTCTTATTGTTGCTTCTGACTTATGAGTAGATTGAGTTTTCTGTAACCGTCATATCTCTGCAAATAACGCAACTTGTTTCATCCTTTATAATCTTTATATCTTTCCTTTGGGTTTGTTGTCTTATTTACAATGATTAGAATCTAGTCAATGATGAGCTGTACTATTTTCATGTCTATAAAAGTATTTAATTTTTTTTATTTTTTAGAAACAGGATCTTGCTCTATCACCCTGGCTGGAGTGTAGCGGCACAATCATAGCCCTTCAGTGTTGAACTCCTGGGCTCAAAGTGATCCTCCCCCCTCAGCCCTTCAGAGAGCTGAGTCTACAGTTGTGCCACTATGCAACTAATTTTTGTTTTCTTGTAGAGATGGGGTCTTCCTATGTTGCCCAGGCTGGTCTCACATTGCTGGCTTCAAAGTGATACCTCCCATACTTTAGCTCCCAAAGCACTGGGAATACAGGCATAGCCACTGCTCACAGCCCTATAAAAGTAGTTTTAAAGTGGGGAACAAAAGAGACATCGTACAGGAGGACCCAGGTGCTGATGGCTTATTTCAAGTGTACTCCTTCATATGTTTATCACCATTTCCCTTCTCTCAGAAAATGAAGCCCTCCATCCTGGATGAGGGAATAGCTCTTGAAAACTGGCTATTCTAACAATTTAAACTTCTTAACGACTAAAATCAAGTTCAGCTCATCCACACTTCCAAATTAATCTATCTGGATTACAAGTCTATAATTTTCAAATCAAGTATACAATAATTAAAAGAATAGAAACAATGCCATCTAAAACGTGAAGTGTGTTCAAACTAGAGACTAATTATTTAACATCTATATAGCACTGAGGAACTGAAAAGCACTTAGGGGGAAAAAATCAAACTTTTAATACACTCCCAACACAACAGATGAGGCAGTGAAGGAAAATAAATCTCTTGGTTAGATCAGGCAGTGATGTAATGAGGAAAGTACCAGAATTCTAACACATCCCCAGAGTTATGAAGACCCAAAATATAGTCTTTGATAAATATATCCCCAAGACCATTTATCTATCCACCACAAGCAACTGTCTCTCTGAAAGAGTCCCAAAATATTTCCTCAGCCCAACAAATTGACAATTTCCCTTCTGTACTTGTGTATCTCAGAGGGTAGTCTAGTGGTTGGCTTTCTTCATCTTTCCAGCTTATATAATGATACTGATTTATACTAAGTAACAGTTTGTCCCTCAGGAAAATGAAATGTAACAAGAGTGTGGCAGCCAGTTCTCCAGAGTCCTACTCAGATCAATGAAGAGTACAGCACAATCCTGACTAGTCAAAGGCCTCTCAGAGGTCATATAAGTGCTCTCATCCCTTCTTGGTACAGACAAGAGTTTCCAGAGTCAGACAGTTCTTCTACTAGGGACTTCTCCAGGATTCACATTTCCCTAGTAAGTATCCCAAACATGTTTTGCTTTTTTGTTTTTCTCTCCCTTTCTGAATGACTTTTTTTGTTGTTGTTTGTTTTTTTCTCCCTAGCATGGCTCTAATGCCATGAATCAGACTTCTTTTGGACTTACTGACCACGGGACTACTGTATTTCTTCTTTATCTAAGTTAGATACTTAATGTATCTTTCAGAAAATCAGATAAAATGCCCTTTGGATGGACCCCTGTCTAAATGGGCACAGTAAGAAATGTTATATTCAACTTGTAAGAGATTTGGTTGTATTAAAATTCATATTTGAACTCCCCAATAAACCAATAATTTATATTCTATATATTGTTACAAGTTATAATGGTTCCAGCTGGGCATGATGGCTCACGCCTGAAATCCCAGCACTTTGGGAGGCCGAGGTGGGCATCACCTGAAGTCAGGAGTTGGGAGGCCAGCCTGGCCAATACAGTGAAACTCCGTCTCTACTAAAATTAAAATTAGCCAGGCGTGGTGGTCGGCGCCTTGGGAGGCTATTTGGGAGGCTCCCTATTTGGGAGTCAGGAGTTCAAGACCAGCCTGGCCAACATGGTGAAATCCCATCTCCACTAAAAATATATTTCAAAAACTAGTCACCACCTACTGGGGAGGCGGAGGCAGGAGAATCATTTGAATCTGGGAGGGGGAGGTTGCAGTGAGCCGAAACTGCACCATTGCACACCAGCCTGGGTGACAAGAGCAAAATTCCGTCTCAAAAAGAAAACAAAACAAAAAAACAAGTTATAGTGGTTCCAAACAAAGGGTAGAAAACAAGATGTTTATGACCCAAGTGGCAAAAAGTTCAGAAGAATCACTTATCTCTTTCTAAAAATATCTGCCCGGCCGGGCGCGGTGGCTCACACCTGTAATCCCAGCACTTTGAGAGGCCGAGGCAGGCGGATCACCTGAAGTCAGGAGTTCGAGACCAGCCTGGCCAACATGGCGAAACCCCGTCTCTACAAAAATACAAAAATTAAAGGAGCATGGTGGTGCGCGCCTATAATCCCAGTTACTCAGGAGGCTGAGACAGAAGAATTGCTTGAACCCAGGAGGCGGAGGTTGCAGTGAGCTGAGATTGTACCAGTGCACTCCAGCCTGGGTGACAGAATGAGACTCCGTCTCAGAAAAAAAAAAAAGGAGAAGCATACTTGCATAGTATTCTGTCACATCAAATAGAGCTGCATAAGCAAAACAGGTTCAGTAAAAGAGACTACCCAAGTCAAGTACTAATTCTTTGAAGCAAGCAAACCAATCATATCCATTTTTGCACTAAACCACAGGTAGATAATTCAGTAACAAATTCTTTAGCATCATCCTGATTAACCAAACCACCTTGATATTGACCATGTGGCCACCCAATGGTAGTGAGAAGAAACTAATTGGAAGTACTTACCTTGAGAGCACAAAAGATGCAGGAATCTCCCATGCACTTGTGAGTTGTAAGCTGCCTAAAGCTACGTCGGAAGATATCCAAGTGCCACAAAACCTGGTGAGAAAGGGAAAACATTTCATTACTCTATAAAAAGCCACCATTTAATTTTAAAGTAAAAGAGTTCAAGCAAACATAGGTAATGACTGCAGAAGATATCTTTATTCCCAGAGAAAACTTCATTCTAGTATATTAAAACAAATGTGAAAAATGGTGAGATATCTAACAGGAAAAATGAATGGTCATATTCTGGGAAAGATATTAATTTGAACATAAAGTGAAGGTAATACAGTTAAAATATGACATGACATACATCAAATGTGATCCTGAAGAGGAAATTTATGGGTTAAAGATGAAGAATAAGGATTTACATTAATGATCCACACAAGAAAAACAAGAATATTTTATAACTTATATTAGAAATGTGAACCCATAGAAATGTGAACTGTAGTATGGAATTTTTTCTTTGTTAGAACTCTCAATTTTTAGACATTTCTAAGAGAAGTGTGATCTCCTTAAGTCAATAGGGTAAAAAATTATGATTTCTATACTTTTGTTGAAATGGAAAAAAAATATGATATTAACAGTGATAAATCATGTTATAGTATATACCCTTGATGTGATGTGTTGAAAACGGCACTATACTTTTGTGGTCTTCCTCCCCAAAACCTATTACCCTAGTCTAAACATGAGAAAAGCATTAGACAAATTCCAATAGGGGAAGGGGGATATCCAAAAAAATACTTGATCAGTACTCCTCAAAACTGTCAAAGATTATCAAAAACATAAACATTCTGAGAAAATGTCACAGCTAAGAGAAGCCTAAGAAGACATGACAAGTAAATCTAAATGTGGTATCCTGGATGAAGTCTTGGGCCAGGAAAGGACAGCAGGTAAAAACTAAGGAAATCTGAATAAATTGCAATTTTTAGTTAAAAAAGAAATGATGTAATATATAGCATAATGCCTTAGGAAGCTCCCCCCTTGCTAGGAAAGCATTTAATGTCATAATATGTGAAAAAGCATAATTTCTGGAGCCCCAGATGACGCACACCTCTGGAGCTTCTTCTTACTTATATGTCTCAAGATCCATACTCTAAAAGTTCTTTGAAACTGGCTATGCTCCCAAGTAAATAACATCTTTTTATAACAAATGTAATAAGTTCAACTCATCTGTGGCAAATACAGCTTTGAAACCAAAAGTCAGAATATTAGCTCATAGCAACAACTATTTTCAACATGTAACATGATTATAATAGGGACTCCAAAACCACCAATGCCTCAATCATTAAGTATGGATACAGAAATATGTGTATGTGTGTGTGTGTATACATATATATAATGTATTGTATATGGCACTGGAAATTAGAATGGAAACTCATAAACAGCATTGTTTCAACTGACAATATAAATAGACCACATAGAAAAAAACAATTATAAAAATGGGACTATGGCCAAGAAGGGGGTAAACATACACATTTATATCAATGCCTTATTTTGCCTGCTTCTAAATCACAAAAGTATTACCAGGATAAAAAGTAACTAAAAAAACTAATATGTGGCCAGGTGTGGTGGCTCATGCCTATAATCTCAGCACTTTGGGAGGCCAACGCAGGAGGATCGCTTGAGCCCAGAAGTTCAAGACCAGCCTAGGCAATTACAGTGAGATCCCCTCTCTACAAACAATTAAAAAAAAAAAATTAGTCAGGTATGGTGGCACGTGTCTGTAGTCCTAGCTACTAGGGAGGCTGAGGTGGGAGGATCGCTTGAGCCCAGGATGTTAAGGCTGCAGTGAGCTATGAGTACACCACTGCACTCCAGCCTTGGCGACAGAGTGTGAGACCCCTGGCTCCAAAAAAAGAAATAAAGAAAGAAAACTAATATGCATCATCCAGGACAAAAACCTAGCCAATTCCACCTAAACACATGAAATTTGTGGTAATAATTAGGGAAAGCACTTAAAATTTTTTTTATAGGGTTGCCAGCACATAATTTTTTTAAAAAATTGTTTTCAAATAAAAACTTAAAAACTGAGAAAGAGACTGGGCGCCGTGGCACACACCTGTAAGCCCAGCACTTTGGGAGGCCGAGGTGGGCAGATTACCTGAGGTCAGGAGTTCAAGACCAGCCCAGCCAAAATGGCGAAACCCTGTCTCTACCAAATGTACAAAAATTAGCCCGGTGTGGTGGCAGATGGTCTGTAATCCCAGCTATTCAGGAAGCTAAGGCAGGAGAATCACTTGAACCCAAGAGGCGGAGATGGCAATGAGCTGAGATCCCACCACTTCACTCTAGCCTGGGCAACAGAGCGAGACTCCGTCTCAAATAAATAAAAACTGAGAAAGAGCATGAAACTTTTATTACTTAGATAAGCTTGGCAACATTCTTGTATTATGAATGAGGAAACTCAGACACTATTACCTGTACAAGGTCACAAGACTAGTCTACAGAATGGCTAAAACTAGAACCCAGGTCTCCTCCTAATGCCCAAGACCATTGTTCTTTATACTAAACATCTTGTCTTCTCTCATAGCAACCTATTTTCTCATAACATCTGAGGAGTCAAGCTAATATTTTACCCAAGTATAATTATCTTGGGTGGAAAATTTCATTTACTTTTACACTGAAGAGCAGAAAAGAAGAGAAAGTAATTACTTGAAAGTTAGGCCAAGGGGGATGAACTTAACACGCTATGGGCGTGACTGGGCAGAGCAGACAGACAGAAAGCTTTGGGATTCTAAGACCACTTAAGTAGCAAGCAACAGTGAAAGGGAAAATGTAGGGTAGATAATCACCTTAAGGGAATTTACTTTCCCCTAGCTCTATTCAAGTGTATCTGACTAGACACCAGTTATGAGCCAAAACAGGAGAGCTCAAAGGGAGGAGATAAATTGGACAAAGACTAGACTCCATTCAATATGTGGGCCAAAAGCCTGAATATTAAGAGACAAGATTAACATACCTGAAAGTCTTTGACTTGTGGCAAGAATTTTGCTTCTATGCTAGAGAAAAGCAACTAGGATAACACACCTGGCTCCCAAAAGGAAAAACAGAAAACAGGCCAGGCGCAGTGGCTCACGCCTATAATCCCAGCACTTTGGGAGGCTGAGGCAGGTGGATCACTTGAGGCTAGGAGTTCAAAACCAGCCTGGCCAACATGGTAAAACCCTGTCTCTACTAAAAATACAAAAATTAGCTGGGTGTGGTGATGCACAGCTGTAATTCCACCTACTTGGGTGGCTGAGCCATCAGAATTGCTTGAACCGCCGAGATCACCCATGGTCCCAGCTACTCAGGAGGCTAAGGCAGGAGGATCACCTGAGCCCCGGAGGTCAAGGCTGCAGTGAGCTGTGATTGGGCCACTATACTCCAGCCTTGGCAATAGAATGAAACTCTGTCTCAACAAAAAAAAAAAGAAAAGAAAAATAAGAACCCGTAGAGATTGCTCAGGAAAAAAAGTTGATAAATAGAAAGATGAGCCAGGCGCGGTGGCTCATGCCTGTAATCCCAGCACTTTGGGAGGCCGAGGCGGGTGGATCACAACGTCAGGGGTTCGAGACCAGCCTGACAAATATGGTGAAACCCTGTCTCTACTAAAAATACACAAATTAGCCAGGCATGGTGGCAGGCACCCATAGCCCCAGCTACTGAGGAGGCTGAGGCAAGAGAATCGCTTGAACCCGGGAGACGGAGGTTGCAGTGAGCCAAGATCGCGCCACTGTACTCCAGCCTAGGCAACACAGCAAGACTCCATCTGAAAGATCACCTGGCCCATTTACCTCCCTTTAGGCATGTAAATAATAGTAGTTACAGTTATTATTTTTTCTCTTACCATTATTAATCCCTCTTTTTGTAAATGAGGTAATTGAGATTCAAAGAGATAAAGTGACTTGCCAAAGATCACACAGATAAATGTAAAAATGACCTCAGGTTACTAACCTCAAACAGAGACTATCAAGAATTTTATTTAAAAAGAGTTACCAGAAATACAGCATCAGCAATTAAAAGTCAAAGTTCACCAAAAATAATTACCCTTACCTGCAGGGCACTGTTGAGGAAGCAGCTGTTTTGCCCTGGCTCATTGCTGAGGCCTTTGCTAGGGGCTATGGAGGTTGAGCTTCGAGGTGCAAACATCCCTTGTACACTACCACGACCCCCTGAAAAATAATTTCTCTTCCAAGACATTATTGTTCACATTTAGCCTGAAAAAAAACGGAGAAGGTTTTGTGCCTTTTTGGCAGGAATTTATGTCTGCTAAAGTTCTAAAAGGAAAGGGAATCCAGAATTTAGTGAATTTATGTTGGAAGATTTTGAGTTTACCACCTTCCAAATATCATCTGCATAGTTCAAGGGACTCAGGTATCCTCCTAGATCTAGATGACAGAGTCCTTCCTCACTTGTTCCAAACAATCTCCAAAATGTAACATGGCACAGGACTAATGCAAACAGAGAAATCCTTAAGTATTGCTTCCTTCTATTTTTCTTGAACAGCCTCAATAACGTCCTGGTGAAGTGGGTGTAATTCTCAACTCCAGCAGCATCCAGGATCAGGGTAAGATGTGTTCTTCAAGCTTGTTGATAATGCTTCTTATGGACTGAAGATTTTTCCAACTGGAAGGAGAGGTAGACAGATAAGCAAGAATCCAACATAACCCTCCTCGCCCTTTATTGCCTTGTCTCATCATCCTCTGAAGCAAAAACTCAAATTCTGAGCAACTGCAAAAGGTTCCACAAAGCCAAGAAGAAGCCTGTTTGAATCATCTGAGGTTTTTGTTGATGTTCTTGCTCCTTCTTTTTAATGTGCCCCAAACTTCTATTGTCTCATCCAAATCTTCAGCAAGTCTCTCCTCTTTCTTCTGGGACTAGAATAGCCAGCTGTGTCAGAGAACTTTAACAGAAATAAAAAAAATCAAAAGCTTGCGTCACTTAATGACTCTACTGGCTTTGGACTGTTCTGCCAAGATCAACGTTGCCTCACCTCTTGCTATAAACTGGAAACCTTGGCAAACAATGCCAAAAAAAAAAAAGGAAAAAAAAAAGAGAGAGAGAGACCCAAACTAAAGAGATGGAAAAAAGGTATGAACAGCTTTACTTTCAGGGGAAAATTATCTGCAATTTTCTTGAAACACAAGAAAGTTGATCTGGATAGAAATAAAACCCAAATACAAACTTTCCAGTATCAGGCTAACACAAAACAAATCACCAAGTAAGCACACACCAACTAGGAACTGAAACAGTTTCTTTTGGACATTGTGAATAAAGCACTTTCTAAAAGGTGTTTTCCAAGAATATGCTTATGAAAACCTGCTTAAAAGTGAGAGCAGTCTATGTGAGCAGTCTAAGATCTGTTCTGAGTAAAGATGTTCCACCCAGAGAAACACTGATGGTGAGTAAACCACAAGTCCTTAACATGCAGTTCAAGAGAACTAAATCTCCTCCTGCCCTGTTTGTTTGTTTGTTTCATTTTTGCCAGAGGATCAGAGGGATAATTTGGGTTACAAATCACTTAATCTCCAGATTATATCCAAGGGCTCACAATCAGAGGCAATCCATTGACCAACTTTAGTTTTCAACTAATTAAAATGCCAGTGAGGCAACAGAGAGTAATACCAAAGCAAGTATGTTCCCTGGAAGGAAATCACCACATCTCCAACTTTAAGTTTTCCTGTAAGGCTGCCATGTCCATCTACATAAGGAAAAATGTTTAAATGTTAAGTGTTAAATTTGCCAAGATCAACAATTCCTCAATCTTCTCCCTTCCTTCTCACCATCATATGCACCATCTAAAAACGCAAAAATGCTTTAACATCTTAATCACTCTCTGGGAGATCACCTAGCATTGTCTACAGCATGTCCAGTGGAAAAACTGAGGTACAGGAATATTAAATGGTTGCATAAGAGTGTTCTTTCCCTTCTGTAAATTCCTAGACTATTTATAATCTACATGTCACAATTAAAGTATTTGATTATACAGTGTACTGTCACATTATTCTCTATTTTTATTACCCTCTGTTTTATATCGTATCTGTCATAATATGACTACATGAAATGAAATAGTAACTACAGTCAGGTATGTGCTAAACACGATACTTACGTCCTTTATTCAATATTCACAACAGTCCTATCAGATAGTTATTAATAGTTCCATTTTACAGAAAAGTAAAGGGAGGCTTAAAGACATTAACGTGCCCAATTCAACGCTGGTAAGTGGCAGAGCTAGAAATGTTTGACTATTAAACTATGACTCAATTATATATTTTATTATTCTATTCCAAAAGCTCCTATTACAGTGCTAGTCATAAGGAGGCAGTCAATAAATACTGCCTGATGATTAACATGACACCAGAAAAGAACCCATATCTCCCACACAGACTATAAGACCCTCACCTCTCTACACACACCCTCATACACACCCCACTCAAGGCCACCAAACAACTTCCAACAAGCCATGCAGCATTCCTTCAGCTCAACTGCTGCAAAGGAATGACAAGTACCAAGCCTCCACTTTGCTCACAGCCAAAAGGACTTGGCACACAGGTGGGGTTTCCAATATCCACATTAGGAGCTTAATGAAACTCGGCCTGCCCTATGACACACACTCCTGAGTATAGGGAGCAAAAGGAGAAAAACACAGTAGCAGAGAAAAGATTCTCAGGCTCTGAATGGCAGTATTATGTAGGCTAAAGCAGTAAGTCCTCAGACCTGTTTTAGGTGTGTCACCAGCTAGAAGTGACAGCATAAAGACCAGACAAGAGAGGCAGTAACAAGTGGTCCAGAGAAATACTAACACCAAAAACATTTCACTTAAATTGTAGATATAGCATTAAACAACGTAATCCTTCTCCAATGCCATTTACTGAAGATATGTGAGGAGGGGAATTATAGTTTTATCTGTATGGCTCTCACTACCTAGTTTATTTGTTTGTTTGTTTTGTTTTGTTTTGTTTTTTGAGGCGGAATCTCACTCTGTCGCCCAGGCTGCAGTGCAGTCGCGCAATCTTGGCTCACTGCAGCCTCCGCCTCTTAGGTTCAAGCAATTCTCCCGCCTCAGCCTCCCAGGTAGCTGGGATTACAGGCATGCACCACCATGCTCAGCTATTTTTTAAATTTTTGTATTTAGTAGAGACAGGGTTTCACCATGTTGACCAGGATGGTCTCCAACTCCTGACCTCAGGTGACCCTCCCGCCTCGGCCTCCCAAAGTTCTGGGATTACAAGCGTGAGCCACCATGCCTGGCACCTATTATATTTAGTACAGTAACATCCTATACAGGTTTGTAGCATAGGAGCAGTAGGTTATATCATATAGTCTAGGTGTGTAGTAGGCTACATCATCTAGGTTTATGCAAATTCACTTAAATGATATTCACGCAGTGACAAAACCACCTCACAACACATTTCTCAGAACATACTCCTGTTGTCAAGCAAAACATGGCTGCACTTTTGCCATACTTTTACCTAACAATCCTACTCCTAGATATTTTACCATAAAGAAATAAAAAATTGGGCTGGGCATGGTGGCTCATGCCTAAAATCCGAGAATGGGAGGCCGAGGCTGGTGGATCACTTGAGGTCTGGAGTTCGAGGCAAGCCTGGGCAACAACGTAAACTTCTAGGAAAGTAAAAGCCAAAATTGGGACGGAAGCATGTCATCTTATTACTTATTACTTATTTCCTTGTGTAACACAGTTACTAAGTTGTATGTCCCACTGTTCCCAATCTGAAAACACTAGCCTCCTGTGGGTAAGCCAAAAACTTTTCCACGTATGATATGATGGAAAACAGTGGGTCTCAACCTTTTTGCAGTGCCTCACATCCAAAGGCAGATTTACCAACCCACTAATGAAACTTAAGCTTCAGGGCTCTTTCTCTTGCACAGATTCTCAAGGCCCAATATCTCATTTTCTGTTTCAAAAAATATTTTCCTTAAAGGAGGCCCTCTGAATTGTATAAGCTTCAAGTGTTACAGAATCTGAGTCTGCCCCATCCACATTACATAAACTGGGCTTTTATAGTATATGTCACTTGAGAAAATACATAATTCAAAAAGCTACTTTGAATTCAGTAATACTAATAACTTTGCATTTTATAAAAGAAACATCTAATGTTATTCTCTGTATAAAATTTGTTTTACCTAAATAGATCTAAATATAATATTTAGTCCACATTTGGATTTTGGATTCTTGTGTTCACAGCAAGTAACTCCACAGTCCACAGGGCTAAATTGAAAAGATCATTACAGATTAAGGCTGCCAGAATTAAAGGCATACCTCTAGAAGCTGGTGACCTTTAGAAAAAAACACTTTCTCTGTATTAGTGAAATACAGAGAATGATTCCTTCACAAGTATACACAGTACAGCTTAATGTGCTACCATTTTTCTCAGGCCAAAGTAATAAACCAGGCTCCAGCTGCAGCCACCCTAATCATCCCCCACTGTATTCTTCACCAACAAAGTCAGCTTCTCTCAGCCTCTGTTTCTGAAAAAACCCAAAGCAGTCATTCAAATGGAACTGGCTTGTGCATAAAGGGAGATGAGGCCTGGAAGGACACTGGGCCAGGAGGAGCCTGGCGCCCTAAGAGACAGTGGGGTAAATGAGGTCCAGAGAGCTACAGGTTATTAGCATAAGAGATTCATTATGAGCAGAGCTGGAATTGAACTGAAACCAATGAAGACTAGATAGAATTTGTTCCTGCAAAGCCTGGGAACCCTTTGATAAAACCAGGTGTAAAGTGTGGGAAGTTTCGAAGGAGATGAATTTTTTTTTTTTTTTTTTTTTTGTGACAGAGTTTCGCTCTGTCGCCCAGGCTGGAGTGCAGTGGCACGATCTCGGCTCACTGCAAGAGCCACCTCCACCTCCCAGGTTCAAGCAATTCTCCCATCTCAGCCCCCGAGTAGCTGGGATTACAAGTGTGCGCCACCATGCCCAGCTATTTTTTGTACTTTTAGTAGAGACGGGGTTTCGCCACGTTGGCCAGGCTGGCCTTGAACTCCTGGCCTCAAGTTATCCACCCACCTCGGCCTCCCAAAGTGCTAAGATTACAGGCGTGAGCCACCACGCCCAGTCAAGGAGATGGACCTTTTAAGCTAATTAATTTCACAGTAACTAAAGTTCAATAAAGTCTTTAAGGAGACACTACTAATTCCATGTGTAGAGAACTCCAAGACATTAATAAAAACGATAGTATCAACGTATCTCCACTAAGGCATTTATTAACTACATAGGAAAACATAGTAGTTTCACAATGGAGCAACTCAGCAGAAACTACCTTAACGAAGTGATCAAGGTCAAAATAACCAGTAATAATACATACTGACATCACGAATGCCATGATATGATGTACTGAAAAGGACACAAAATTATTTCTGTGGTATTCTTGCCTAAACCATAATCTCAGTTCAATCATCAGAGAGTATCAGACAAATCCAAATTAAGGAATATTTGACAAATAGTCCTCAAATTGATATTGATCAATATTCTACAAAAATGTCAAGGTTATAAAAGACAAAGACTGAGAAACTTTTACAGAATACAGAAGAGTAAGGAAGAAAAACACCTAAAATGCAATGTGAGATTCTAGATAGGATCCTGGAACAGAAAAAGAACAATGCAGCCTGTGCAAGATGGCGAGCGAGACCCTGTCTCTACAAAACAAACCAAAAAAAATTTTCTGAAACAAAGTCTCGCTCTTGTTGCCCAGGCGTGATCTTGGCTCACTGCAGCCTCAGTCTCCCAGGTTCAAGCAATTCTCCTGCCTCAGCCTCTGGAGTAGCTGTGATTACAGGCGCCTGCCACCATGCCCAGCTAATTTTTGTATTTTTAGTAGAGACGGGGTTTCACCATGTTGGCCAGGCTGGTCTCCAACTGCTGACCTAAGGTGATCCGCCTGCCTCAGCCTCCCAAAGTGCTGGGATTACAGGTGTGAGCCACTGCACCTGGCCAAAAAATATTGTTTTTAATTAGCCAGGCTAACGCTTGCCTGTAGTCCCAGCTACTCAGAAGGGTGAGGCAGGAGGACTTTTTGAGCCTGGGAATTTGAACCTGTAGTGAGCTATGACTGTGCCACTGCACTCCAGCCAGGGTGACAAAGCAAGACCCCATCTCTAAAAATAAAAAAGTAAAATAAATTACAATTTTAAAAAACTGAAAATAAAAAAGTAAAAAGAATAATGGTAGGCAAACTGGTAAAATTCAGGAAAGCTCTTTAGTTAACAGTGTTGTACCAATACTATTAATTCCTGGTTCTGATAAATGTATTATGGTTATATAAGATGGTATCATTAGAGGTAACTATTTTTGCAACTTTTCTATAAATTCAAAATAAAAAACATTTTAAATTATGCAAATAATTCACTGAAGAAGATGGAACTTTTGGCCCAAAAGGGATTGAAGCATTTGGGTAATAAATATCTATATGTCTAAAGGTAGGTGGACCAAGATAGATTTATAGGAAAAGAAGATAAGTGGCCAGGCGCGGTGGCTCACGCCTGTAATGCCAACACTTTGGGACACTGAGGTGGGCAGATCACGAGGTCAGGAGTTCGAGACCAGTCTCGCCAACATAGTGAAACCCCATCTGTGCTAAAAATACAAAAATTAGCTGGTCATAGTGGCATGTGCCTATAATCCCAGCTACTCAGAGGCTGAGGCAGGAGAATTGCTTGAACCAGGGAGTTGGAGGTTGCAGTGAGCCGAGATCACGCCACTGAACTCCAGACCGGCAACGGAGCGAGACTTAGTCTCAAAAAAAAAAGAGAGAGACATTGACCTAGTTTGTGATCCTAGAGTCCACTGAGGGTTACATGTGAAACCTCTTGGCTTACTATGTTTAACATCACAGTATGGCAATTAATGGGTTGTTTCATTAGTCCAGAAACCTGTTTCTCAGAGCTAAATGTGCACAGAATGAATTAACAGAGAACTTTAAAACTGCAACATCAGGGGTAAGTAAATGTAAAATGATAGGGGTCTTGTTAGGATGATGAAATTATGGATTTTTTCCTTTTTTATATTTTCTAAATTAACTATAATTTATAAATAATCTATAAACTATCACTTCCTTAAAATAGGGGTTTAAACACATTTTCCCTAAAAATAGAGTGAAGGGACTCGAGACCAGAGATAACCAACCATTGAGACCCGTAATATCCTAACAATATGAAAGCTGGTTAATAATTGGTAACTATTTCCTTTTTAGAAACGGAGGGCCTAGTGCGGATCTCTATTTCCTTTCATTCTATTCTCACTGCTGCTGCTACTAAGGTTCAGATCCTCACCACCTCTAGACCACTGCACCACATTACTGACTCACTGCCAGTCCTCTAATCCTACATGTCACTACCACCTGACTCCTAAAACACACTCCACACCATGTCACTCCCCTTTTCAAAATATTTAATGGCTCCTAGAGGGAGATATTCTTTTGGCTGGAAAAGAATAATGGTATTTTTCTAATTCACAGGAAAGAAAATTAATAGATAGATTTTTCACAAGTTTCTCTCCCATAATTTTTTCTTACCTACTTAGTCTACTGCTAGCAATACAAGAACTTGAACAAATAGTAGCAAAATTAAGGGAGAAAAAATCAAGCAGTCAATTGGACCTATTTTAACAACTTTTTTCCTAACTGACTGTGTTAAGCCATTTTTGCACTGCTATAAAGAAATACCCAAGGCTGGGTAATTTATAAAGAAGTTTAATCAGCTCATGGTTCTGCATGCTGTATGGGAAGCATGGCACCAGCATCTGCTCAGCTTCTGGTAAGGCCTCAGGGAGCTTACAATCATGACAGACTGCAAAGGGAAGCCCAGGTGTCACATGGCTAAAGAGAAAAGGGGGAGGTCTCAGACTCTCTTCAACAACCAGATCTTGCATGAATTAACTGAGTGAGAATTCAGTCATCACCGAGCTATTCATGAGGGATCCACCCCCAGGATCCAATACCTTCCACTAGGCCCCAACATTGGGGATCACATTTCAGCATTAG